ATTAGTTCAGCTGGTAGCGCTGCTTGCTCTTAATCTTTTCTGCTTCTGCTGCAGCATCAACTCAGAGCAAGAAGCTGTTTAACTGGGATCAAATCATAGGAAGAAGCTAACCATCAATGTGTAGCTAAGCCTTCAGAAAGCGAGTAGCAGCCATTTGATATAGTGGACCTGAAAGGTGAGCAGTATTCAGAGAGGTCCGGTAGACAGTGGTGCAGGACCAGGCACCCTGGGGATAGGGAAAGCTCTCAATGGGACTTCTCTTCTTCCTCCCACTCTGAGGTCCCAGTGTCTTTGACCAAGACCTCTACTGCATCCTTACAAATCTTTCTTCTCATCCTGAATTCTTTGAATCCCTTCCAGGACCAATTTTAATTCTACATTTCTGAAGCTTCCTAGACATCTGTAGTAATCTCAAATTTGACATGCTCAGAGCCAAACTCACTAGTATTTTCTGAATCCCGTCCTTCCTTCCTTCCTTCCTTCCTTCCTTCCTTCCTTCCTTCCTTCCTTCCTTCCTTCCTTCCTTTCATTTATCCATCAGCATTGGGCCAGATACTCTAATGAGTACCTTTGAGGTATCTCAATCTCAGTGACCAGTCATGTTGTGCTTTCCTTTTGAATATGCCTCATATCTGCCATTGGACTGTTCCAGGTCACTGTTGCCTTCATGAAACCATCCTGATCTTAGCTGCAGACCTGTTTACTCTTCCCCTTGTCTTCTATCACCTTCCATCCACTGACCTGGACCATCCACCTCTCCTGCTATCTACCCACCTCCAATTCAAGCCACACATAGGTATCAGGGTAAGCTTTCCAACGCCCTTTGAACACACTGCTCTCCTGGAATGTGTCTCAGATCCTCGCCAGCACTGGCTAAGCTGAGATCTTCAGAATGTCAGTCCCAGCTGGTGTTTGGTGGGAGGGAGCTGCTCACGGGCAAGAGCTGTTTGAACTCTGCCATTTGGATAGGCACCTTCTTTTTCCACATAGTTTCTCCCAAATTTCTTTGACTCCAAAACTACTTTTGCCAAGAACACATATTGCCATCTCTCAGAGGCAGTGTCTCCAGAAAAATCATAGTGGGTGACAAGGAACTGTAGGCTGAACATGATAGGCCACCTTACCTCTACTTACCTCCCAGAGCAGAAACGCTATTCGGCTCACCATTATTCAGCCTGTTGTAAACAGAATGCTCCCCTACCCCTGCTTCCAGGATTTCTCTAGCTGGGAACAGACTCCTCCCTTTCCACTTCATTACACCTCAGGCTTTCTCCAGTGTCCAGTTCCAATCCCTTCTCCTGTGATCCTGTGAATCCTTTCCAGAGCTCTCAGCTGAGATTATTGCAGCTCAATTGTCAGCCTCAGAAAGCCGGGCTCTCTACAGGAAGAGACCCATGTGCCATGAAGCTGGAGAACTGGCAGGATTTTCTCAGAAAATCACTTCAAAAGTAATTTAAAGATTACATTACAAGCACTGCAAACAAGATATATGACATACAGAATGATCAGATCATCAAGCAGGAGATTTAAAATCAATAAATAGCTTACCTCAAGAATGTAAATGAATGTAACCACTATAGACAGACAGCGATATAAAAAGAAGAGAACTACCATACACCCATGTGTGCCATTACCCAAAGGTAATGAAGTCAGCACACACAAAAGAAGCCTGCATATCCATGTCTATTAAACACTAGTCTTAATACCCAAGGAATGGAATCAGCCTAAGTACCCATCTGCAGATGAACACAGAGAGAAAATACGGTAGACAGTAGAGTATTATTCACCCATAAAGATCAGTAAAATTATGTCATTTATATGAAGATGGACAGAACCAGGGGCCACCACGTTAAATGATGTAAGAGAGAAAGACAAGTAACCATGTGTGTTCTCTCACATGTGCACGGCAGGACAACCCATAAGGTGCTGTGAACATGGTAGGAATGACTCTTAGTGAGGGTGAGAGGGGACTTAGGGGAGCAGACACGACTGAAGCATGATGGGTGTGATGTCACACCATAGTGAAATCCATTAGTACGTACAACTAAGATGTGTAAGTAACTGTACTTTAAAACAATCTACCATGTCTGACCCTGGTCAGAGTTACTGCAGGAAGACACTGGCGGGGTTCCATGCCTTCATGCTTTCTTTGTAAAAGAAATTGTCAAGAGCCTACCAGTGAAAACTGTAACTAGAAGAAAACCCAAAGGGTATGTGGAAAGGACAAATGGCATCATGGATTCCACAAAGACCTCTTACGCTCTAAATGTTTTTTTTCAGTTTTATTATGGTATTATTTTCTATATAATATAAACAAGTTGGCTTATTCACTTGAAGAGTACCACTGCTGTGCATTACCATTTACAGAAAATGGGTTTCTTCCCAATGGCAAGAAGATTCCATGTGGTGGGAATGCCAACTCAGCACCTCACCATGATTCAAAAGCACAACAAAGACCATGCCTTAACGCGCCCCAGCTCTGGCTTAGGCAAGGAAGCCCAGGAGGAAGTCAGAGGTCAGAGGTCAATCTAGCGCTCCTGCTTCCATCTTGGGCATGGATAGGACTTTCCCACGGATGGCACCCATTTCCTGTCAGCCACATATTTCCAACCCCACTGCCATCCACTCTCACATACTCACAAGAGTCAAGCTGAGTGGCCAACACCCTGGCTCTCCACTGCTAGCCGGGAGAAACACTGGACCCTGAGGACTGTGGTAAGTCTGAAATTGCCTCAGCTGGCTGCTGGCTCTTCTTACTCAGCTCAGCCACTTGCTTGCTTGCTCCAGCATCCATTCCTGGCCTTTTCCATGTCTCCAAACCTTACCTATTTTTTAATTTTTCTTCTCATCCTGACATAACTTCTTGCAGGCCTCACCCCCAAAATGCCTGGAGACTCCTTTGTTTTTTGGGGCCTTGGAGAATTTTCCGACGTGACAGAAGGTTCAGCCTCAACCTCTATCTCCAGCTTTATTTCCCACCTAGCTTTTTACCTCCAGCAAAGTGGTTGGCTCTTGGCATCCTGGATGAAACATTCTATGTACGCTCAACATTTTGTTCTCAAAGCCCTGTCCTGGGAGTCTCACTCAAGATTTCTTTCAAGAAGCTCTCTTTAACTTCTCGACTGTGGTGATGCCTTACCTCTCACCCTGGGTACCCTTCCTGTTGTCTCCAGTGACTCCCATGGTGGGTCACACAAAATACCCACCCAGAGGATGCCTCTGAGGAGAAAGCACTTTCTTGGAGAGTCAAACCGCATATGGAGTCTATTGTTTCTCAAACCTATTCAGCCGTGGATGCACAGACCGAAGGACAATGATCTGCTAAAACTGCGACACTTCCTACAAGTCTTTTCTCTATCTGGCTTAAATAGTAACAGTGAGCCTGTTTGATTGAACTTTGGACTGTCTCAACTCCTTTTGGTCCTGACACTAGTCTATGCCTGTTAAGTGGGATGCATTGAGCAGGAAGCGGGTATCTTAATGTACAGCACACAGCAAATAGAAAAGCTGTTAGCAGGGCTAAGGGGATGGATCACTTGGCAAGTTATGTATGCTAGTCAACCACGAAGATCTGAGTTCAAATCCCTAGCACCCATATAAGAAAGCTGGGCCTGACCATGTGTGTCTATAACCCCAGCACCAGGGAGCAGAACTTGGTGGGTCCTGGCAGCTCACTAGCCAGCTGGCCTAGCTAGAACAGAGAGCTTCGGGTTTGGTGAGCAACCCGCCTTAAGGAGATAAAGTGTAGAACAATAGAGAAGACATCCAATTATGTCATCTTCTGACATCTATATGGCCATGCATCAAATTCACACTGACATATGTATGAGGAACAAATATGCATGCATACACACACATGCATGCACGGAAAGCTGCTGGAAACTTCCTTCTCAGAAGGCACTTATTATTTTTATCTATGGTATGTATGCATTACCATCATGTATATAAGCATACCACGGGGATACAGGTGCCTATGAAGCCAGGTGAGGGAACAGAATCCCCTGGGACTACAGTCACAGGTAGTTGGGAGCAAACTTGGGTCCTTCGTGAAACCTGTATGTGCTCTTAATCTCTGAACCATCTCTCGGGGTCCACTACTTTCACACTGAGGCAACAGAGCAGAGCCGCACTGAGTTTGGACTGTAGAATCAGTCCACTGCAGACAGCACTGGATAGCCTGCAAAGTCAAGGTCTGTCTCTGCTCTGTTCATGGGTGCCTGGTGCACACGGCGCCTGGCACAGACCATACAGTCAGTAACTATTTATATTGAGTGGATCGAGGACAAAGTCATTCTAAGTCCTGGGTGGTTTTGCCTACGTGGGGACATCTAGAAGCATCTGAAGACAGTCTTGGTGATCACAGGGGCAAGCATCATCACACAAATGCACCGGATGACGAACTACACATCTGCACCAGCAATGTTGCTAAGACTGGCATGTCCTGCTCTAGAAGTCAGACTGATCAGGGCTAAATCTACAACTATGGACACCAGCTGTTAGGCCTTAAGCAAGCGAGAAGAGTTACCTGCTCATTTCTTTATTTGTATATTGGGGTCTTCACTCTATCTTTCATGGTTATTGTAAGAGGACATACACAAAACACACATCCTGAGCAATGCCGAGGAAGTGGGGACAGTTGCACAGAAAGTGTGACCTACTGGCCTTCATGCCATCGGCCTTCATGCAGTGTCTCGCGCCAATTGTGGCCCTGGGTCACAGGACTTGCTATGCCAGTCCCAGAGTGGAGAATCTAGCTGAAGTAGCCCCTGCACCCCAGCCTTGCAGCGCCCTGCCCTGGAGCCCCTCAGCCCTGCAACCCCAACTCTGCACCCCCAGCCCCGCACCCCCGAGCCCACGTACCCTCAGCCCCGCGCATCCTCAGACCTGTGCATCCCCAGCCCTGTACCCCAACACCGCACCCCACATCCCTGCACCCCCGCAGCCCTGCACCCTCACTTGTGTTCACTAGATAGCTAGCTGGATGTTATTTAGGTGCTCACCGGGGGCTCGATCGTGAAAATGTGATCCAGAAAGAGCATACTGTTTGCTTCAACCAGCTTCCTCTGGTTCTCGAAGGTACGGGAGATAATGGAAAGGCGTTCTCGGAGAGAGGGATCCAAGAGGCAGTCTTCAAGGATCAAGTTGGTTTCTTGCTTTTCCTCCTTGCGCAGATCATCACAGACCCTAAAAGAAAAAAAAAAAAAAAAAAGGAGATGTGAGGGTCACTGCGGAACTCCTAGTCTTCAATTCTTCAATGCATGGGCGAGTGACCTTGTTTTGCCTTCTCAGAACTTCCAGAGTTTGGTGATCTTTTGTCACCTCCTTCCAGAAGTCCTCTGGGATTTCTTTCCAGCATGTATCTGGACAAATATTTCCTTTTAGGTAATTGTGTTTTCTGGGCTTATTTTTAAATTATTTAACATCTGCCCTGCCTCTCACGCAGCAAGGATTATTTTGTTCCTGTTAAGCTTGCCTTGCTTTAATTCTTTCCTAGCCATTGGTTATCTAGGGAATAGAATGTGAGGCTGGCAAGGGCTGGGGTTTAGATACTGATTTTACGATCTATTTCCTAGCTCCAGGACTCTGGGAGCTGCCCGGTTCCTTTAAGCCTGAGCGCTTGTTCCCATAAAACAGAATGGATGGGAACAGAGTTCCTAATCTTTGAGACAGTGCTCAAAGGCGATCCAGGTTCTGGTTCTTGCCTGTGCCAAGCATGTTCACTGTCTAAGACCTCAAACTTGTAAGACGCTTGAGCCGTGCCTGAGGATGTCTCCTGTACTCACTTCCTAGTTCTCAGTGTCTACCAATGTTGGTGAGAGAACAGCCTCTCCCAACCCTCTCCTCACCGCCCTCTGCTTTCACCTGGACTCTGCAGGCTGCCCTGCTCCCTGCTGGGCCCTTGTCCCTGTTCCCAGCACTACCGATGTGACCCTGGTGACATACTTGGGGACAGAGGGCTGAGTGTGCACTCCAGGTCACCAAGATCCTGTCTCTCTGCTCTGACTTTCTAGATGACCTTGTACGACCAGAGACTCCATTTTTGTCAAATGGTCCTTTTAAATAACTTCAGTGTGCAGAGCCCTTTGGGTGTATAACACAGGGGAATCAAAGGAATGGATTCAGTGTTCTGGATCCAGGGAAGACAGCAGCGTGCACTTCCCTTCTACCTCTGGGGAAGTAAAAAACAGTATCCAGGGTAACCAGCAGTACTTCCCCGATGCCACTGGCCATATCAGCTTGGAAAGAAAGAAACCCAGTTCTTTCTTCATTGTAGGTCTGACAGCTATCTGGAATGCTTACAAACTGCATATCATTTGTGTGGTGGTTTGAATGAGAATGGTCCCCAATAGACGTACATATTTGAATAGTTGGTCCCTGGCTGGTGAGACTGTTTGGGAAGGGTGAGGAGGCGTGGCCTTGTTGGAGGAGGTATACCACTGGGGGCAGGATTTGTGGTTTCGTGCTATTCCCAGTGTGTTCTCTGCCTCCTGCTTCTAGTGTGAGCTGTGAGGGCTCAGCATTTCATCCCTCTCCTGCCCCCCCTCCCCTATTCCTTTGTTCCACCATCATGAACTCTAACCCTTTGGAACTATAAGCCAGTTAAAACTTTCTTTTTAGTAAGTTGCTTTGTTTGTGGTGTTTTACTACAGCAATAGAAAAGCAACTCATATAATCTGGAACAGGAAACCCCACTTTCAGTAATACATTCTAAAGCAATCTCAGATGGAAACAAAGGTAGCGCCATAGTGACCTTCTTTAATGTATGGGGAAGTAAAGTGGGTAATTTATACATGAGGGCCTCAGACACCCTGCAACTAGAGTTATAGATAGCAGTGAACTGCCATGTGGATTCTGGGAACTGGACCTTGGTTCTCTGTAAGAGGAGTGAGTCCATTCAACCATGGTGACATCTCTTCTAGTCGTCTTAGCAAGGTTTTATGAAGATAAAGATTCAAGTTACAAAATATTCTGTTACAGAAAAACCTTCCTTTTTTATTTAAAAAGAAAAGAAGTTAAGGGGGGAATATATATTCATTTTGCAAAGGAATGCATTTATAGATACTAAAATATTCCTTAGGTTTTTCCTGGATCATAAGATTGAAAGTGATTTTTATCTTAACCACTGGTGTAATTCTTTTAAAAAACAAATTACATATATTCATTACGTGTTTCTTTTATATTAAAAAGCAGGTGGAGTTAAGAAGTCTGAGTGAATCAGTTCTCAGATTGAAGCATAGAAGACTTTTCCCTGGTTGCCTAACATGCAAACACTGGCATGAATGAACCCGGGCTCCATCACCAGAAGAGGCCTGGGGAAAGGACAGGATACAGCAGCAACATCAGTGGGTTAGATTCACACAGAATACCAGGAGGGGCCTTGACACAAGGTCTAGTACAAAAGGAAAATGGAGTGCGAAATATCACATCTAGCCATCGAAATACCTATTTTCTGGAACAACATATACTTCATGAGACTAGATGCACATAAAAAGACACATGAACACGTTAGAATGGCATCCAGGAGAGTCTGCATGAATGGGATGGATACAGCATGTAAGAGACATCATACAGTGTCTTGTGTCAGTGAGGATGACCATAATGATCAGAAGGTGGGCTCAGCTCTCTCACTGGAAAATGAAACAAAAGATTCCCACACACTTCTCCTTTTCTATGTGACCTTGGATTAGTAACAGCCACAACAAGGCAGAAAGCAAACCCAGATGTCCTTCTGTCCTTGAGGAGGAATCGGAGGCATTGCTGAGAGTCTGCCGAGGGGAAGTGCAACAACCCGAGTCACACTGATGCCTACAGGGTGCTACATGACCGTGCACGGCTTCACCATCATGTCTTGTTGATGATCGTAGCATCTTGCCTCAGAGACAGCTCTGTTTCACAGATGAGGAGACGTCTCACGAGAAAGGTCATTCTTGTTTTTCTGTGGGTATAAGACTTTCACCGGTTTTACAAGTGAAATTGTGACCCATGGTGGCGGCTGACCCATGGCCTTAGAGAGAGTGGCGCTAGCTCATGGGGCAGGGTCCTGGACTGAAGCAAAGGGGAAAGGTAAGAGGAACCCAGGAAATAGTCACTATTGCCTCGTGGCTGTAGATGCCATGGAACCAGTTGCCTCATATTTCTGTTTCCATGACTACCCTGTCATGATGGACTGGACCCTTGAGTCATGAGTCATGACCCAGGATAGTTGATTTTGACAGCTATTCTGCTGCAACGAGGCATGTGACTAATAGAGTTGGTAACTGGATGTTGAAGAGACAAAATGCTCCATGACTTCCCAGAGCTGGGAGAAGCACTTCCATGCCTGCCTATGACAGGAACAGAATAAATGGAGCCAATGGCGCCATAGTCACCTTCAAATGGACTGTGTGACCCTAGACAATGGTTGACTCTGTGATGATCTCATAAACAGAGGCCATTTAAGTCTTTGGAGGCTTCTTTTGGTATGACACCAGAGGAGGAACCCCCGAACATAACTGAAATCAGACTTATTACGGTAACCCAGGTGGCAGGCTCAAATATCAATTACGGTTGAATTAACTAGAGAAATGTGCCATTTCCTGCACCTGAATGTCGTGAAATAAACATGCCAACCACGGTGCGGGCAGTCCACTGAGAATGCTGTGGGGTCTTGAGCAAATTTAGAATTAGAGCCACCTGCTCTTGAAACAGTGACTGTGACCCTGCTGGGGACATTGGGAGCAAATGTCTGTAAAAACCCACACTGAGCCTCTGAATGTGAGAAGTTTGACAGCATCTCATAGAGGGCATTTGGCTGGATGCAACTTCAGAAGGAAGGAAGGAAGGAAGGAAGGAAGGAAGGAAGGAAGGAAGGAAGGAAGGAAGGAAAGAAGGAAAGAAGGAAAGAAGGAAAGAAGGAAGGAAGTAGCCTCTTCTGACAAGATTAGTATTTTTTTCTAGCTCCAGAGAAAACACCAAGAAATAGATAGAGAAAAAAAAGTAATTTTTTTATAAGGGTCCTTAATTTAAAATTATGAAGGTTTTTTTTAGGGGAGGTGCTTTTCTTTTTCTAGAAGAACAATTGTAACAGAACTTCTTCTCAGAGGAGGGGTATTTTCATGGCCAGAACCTGGGGCCTGGGAATAGCTCATGTTTCTACATCTAGACCTTTCTCTCAAGGTTCCAGCACAGTAAGATATGCAGAGAGCAAGGCTGTCCTTCCAAGAAAAGAAAGGATAAACTATTTCTTGGGGCTGAAATTCCTCTACTGGGAAAAGAGACAGCCACATCTTGGCTTGCCAAGATTTTATGGGCAAGGTACCGATGATGGATGGAAGGGGGTTGAGGCCATTTGTTACCTGTGCTAGCATTTTCATACAGATCTTTGGACAAGCCTCTGTGCTCATAGATGGGATGCCCCAGGATGAGGTGGAAGGCATTTTGCAAACAGACAGCCAAGGGAAGAAAGACAAGTCCCATATATGACATTATGCTTGCATTCTATCTTAGGTCCTTGGATGCTGAAAAGGGGAAGTTTTCATCTTTGCAAATGTGTCTCTAACTAAAGACAGGTTCTCTTCATGCCAAACTTAGGAACAAGGTCAACCATTCTCTCTGCAGCAGTGGTTCTCGACCTTCCTAATGCTTTGACCCTTTAATACGGTTAACCTCATGTTACGGCAACCTCAACCACAGAATTATTTCATTGCTACTTCATAGCTGTAATGTTGCTACTGTTATGAATTATAATGTAAATATCTGATCTGATGCAGTATTTCGGATGTGGAAGCTCCAGGTGGGTCAGGACCCACAGGCTGAGAACTACTGCTCTGCAGTTTAAACTGGAAACGCTGATGGAGGGATGGGAGACGAGCGAGAAGTGGCTGTGCCCCTCACTGGGAGCAGGAGCATCCTGTCTACGAAGGGTGATGTCATGGACACTGCTAGACACAGGCCTTGCTAGAGAATTCAAGAGGGGAGTTGTATTGCTGGTTAATGACCTTGCTGTGTTTTGTGGGGGGAGGGGGTGGGCTGATATCTGTGCTGTGTGCTACTCATGTGTGGCCTTGGGCATAACCCAAGAATGCGCAACAAAGGAGACCACGACCATTGCACAAAGTACCGCCATCCACACTCACTGCTTAGAAAGGCACACACAGAGCTCCGAGATCGCCTTGTTTTGGAGAGAATAGGCATCTGTTGGCAATTATTTCCAGGACAAGAATCCAAGGGGAGGATAATCATATGAAAGTTGAGGGATGCATCAAAGAACAAGAAAGGGAGAAGGAAGACAGCAATTGGGCATAGCAGAGTTTAGTCCACACCCCACTCTGGCTCTTGGCATCTGGTGCTTAGAAGAGGAGAGGAAGAAGGCAGGGTGGAGTTCGGTAGACTCTTAGGCAAATCAATCTACTTGAGGGAAACATAAGTTACATTGATATATGTCACCCAAAGAGAAAGTGAAGATGATCCTACTCAGAGATCAAAAGCCACTTCTCTAGCTCTGTGTTTAAAAGCGAGGCATGGCCTGAAATGATACCTTGAATAGGGCTGCAATAACTGAGGTACGCAGACACTGCTATGGAGAGCTGACTGACTCCTCTGGCCAGAGCCGTGTGGACAGAAGATACGGACGGATGAAACGTTGTGGTCTGTGCCCAGTAGAGCCTCATTCAGCCATAAAGAGGAAAGTGATTATGACAACTTCAGGAGCACAGATGGGAGTGGTGAGTGAACTATGCCACCCCACAACCATAAGCACTGTGCATCTCCTCTCATATGTGGACACTAGACAGGGAAAAACAAAGGATGTGAAACTAAAATGGTGACTACTGGAATGTGGAAGGGGGGGATGGGAAGACGTAAGATCCACAGAGGCTGAGTACAATCAAAGTTCACTATGTACATGTGTGGGATACAAATGTTATAAGAAAACTTCCTTTTATATACTAGACATACAGGGAAGAGTGGGATTGGGAGTAGGGAGATGGCTCAGTTGAGAAAGTGTTTGCCATGCAAACATGTGTCCATTTCCACAGAACCTATGTCAAAAGCTAGGAGCAGCGTGCATGCTAATAATTCCAGTACTGGGGATGTGGGAATAGGAGAACCCCTGGGGATTGCTGGCCAGTCCAGCCAAACCATCGAGTTCCAGGTTCAGTTAAAGATCTTGTTGTAAAAAGTTAAATTATGGGGTAATTGGGAAAGAACTGCCATCAAGCTCTGGCTTCTGCATATGCATGAACATACATACATACAAACACACAGACACACAGACACATGCATGCACACACATACACACACACAGACACACATGCATGCACACACAGATACACAGAGACACATACATTCACAGAGAGAGAGAGAGAGAGAGAGAGAGAGAGAGAGAGAGAGAGAGAGAGAGAGA